TGGCAAGTATTGCAGCTACTCCAACCCCAGCAACAGGCACTGCAGCTACTCCAGCCCAGTAAGCCAAAACCAGGACACTGACAAACTATGAATAAACTGTTGTCTCATGGCAGGTGCTAATAGAGTAGTTCAATAATGATTTGGCATTAAGGAAGCTATTCCTAAGACAGATTAAGTTTAGAAAAACATCTAGGATTCCAGAAAAAAAATAACAAATCTCCTTTCACAGTATATGGTGTAATTTTCCCTAAGGAACTAAAGTCTTTTTTGCCCCCTAAGGGAGCCATTTTTAGGGAAGAAAAAAGCACATTTAAAAACCTAAAGTTGATCTTTGAATTAAACTAGTATGTATCATTCTAACATAGAACATACCATTCTAATTGAAAAGTAATCAATACAACTAAAAGGAGAGTCAGGAGGAGGAAACTGCTTTTTTTTTTTTTTTTTTTTTTTTTTCCCCAAATACATACCACTTAGACAACTCCATTAGAAAATGAGTATTTTGGATCCTTTCTAGGTTTGTCTAATCCTAAAACAAATAACCCAATTGAAACAAAAAGAGATTTTTTTCAATATGCATGTCAAAGTCTACAAAGAGAGGTACTTTTGTATCCGCCAAATTATTAGATGACAAAAAGATATCAGGACTTACAGAGATGCTGTGTTGCCACTCTCTTACAAAAAGTGGTTGACCTTCCCATGGACAAAGAGCTCCTTCCCAGGTAGTGGTGTCTGAGTTTGTGGCACTATAGGAGATTTCCATCTCTCTCCCCCAGGACAGCACATAGTGAGGGACCATGATCACATGACATGGGGGCAAAGTTATTTCACCCATAGAGACCTTCCACATTTCTAGGGACCCCACCACAAAGCAATCTCCTTTAGACATGGCACTTTCAGTTTCTGCATAAGGTGGGGAATGTCCTGGGGCTGGGGCTTCTCCTCTGTCCACCTGTGGAAGCTGGAGAGGTGCTCGAGGTGGGAAAAATAGGGTTTGGGCTGACCAGAAGAGCTCACTTTATGGTAGACTGGATTCTGCCCATGCATCTACCAGATCTCATAAAATATCAGTCACCAATAATTCAGCTGTAAGTTGCAGTCAATAAAGATAACCCAGCATCATGTGACAAAGATTTAATATCAAAGAAAATAAAATCTTCCAGTTAAGGGTAGAAATCAATTAGAGGTTAAAGCTGTGTTGATCTTTAATCAGCATCCTGAGTACAGCTTGTGATCTGTGGAAATCTAAACATTGCAATAATGAACTGTTGCTGCCATCTACTGAACACAAGAATTATGTACTACAGAGCTTTACAATTTGGCTAGCGATCAAGTGTGAAACTGTTTGCTTGGCTGGATTAAGTACAATTTCTGTTTCATTAGAACAATCATGTTTCTTTCTAGATGATGTTCAGGGCATGAATCTGCTTTAGGGAATGTCTGTCCCTCTTTGGGGAATAATGAATTCTCCTTTGGAGAGATACTCCTAGCCCATGGAGGAATCGTGAAAGGTGAGATTTGTTAAGAGTACACATATCTCCCATAATGTGAAACACATTGCTATTAATAAGAAAGAGTTACTAGTTAGAGCTGCAGGTTTTAAAAATCTTAGTACACATTAGCTTTTCTTTAGTAATATCACGCAGAACTCCATCATCTTTGCTGAAGATAAATACCTGCCCTTGTATGGCAGCTGTGGTTTAGATGAAGGAGCTTGCCAGTTGAAAAAGTGCTGGCATTGGCACTGAATTTCTACCAGGATGTTGAAGGGTGGGACCAAGGTCAGGCAGGCTGCTTGAGGAAGTTGTAGCCAGCAAGAGCTATCCCAGCCCCAGTGCTTTGTTTTTTCCAGGTACTGAACCTGTTCCTGTATGTCCCAGAAGCTGCTGCTGGGTATAAACAGAGACATTCGAACATACTCACACACATACTCAGGCATTACACTTCAAAAAAACCCCAAGAAGTTCTACTAACATACTAAACAGCAACAAAGTTACTAAGTGCAAGAAATAGAGTACTATCATCGGGTTGCAATATATAAAAAATATATGCATTTATTGCTTACCTACAAGGTATATATGTGGACACTCACAGCCAAATTCAGCCCCACAGGTTAATAAGACCCTATTTTGTATTGACATCAATGGTGATTGGACACATTTGCTTCAAAGATGTCTTTGGCTTGTTATAGGTCATAAGAAGGCTGGAAATTGCAGAGGAAAAGTAGCAGATAGCAGGGGAGCCTGCTGATCTCACCTGGCACTGCATTCAGCCAGGCATTCAGACACACACAACTCAACAACAGTGCAAGAACATGGTTTTGCATGAGACCCAAGACTGTTGGCTACAATAATAGTCACTTCTGTCTAAGATGGCAAAGGGATTTAAAGAGATAAATTAATATAAAAATCTGGCTCTCTTTCTCAGTCTGCGTTAGTCAGGAGTGAAAGGATTGAATTTAATAGAATGACACCAACATGAAACTAGTGAGAATAGCAAATCAGCGGCCATCTGTATTCTTCTGCAAAACTATAGATTTCCACACGAGGGAGCTTCTTGCCCACGAAGCTCACAGCTACTGCACAGGGTGCTTCCTCCTGGGGAAGGTGACAGCAATGCTTCCCTGTGAGTTCATAAATTCTGCGGATTGCAGTCTGATTGCACTGCTAAGAGTCACAGCGAGAGCCAGTAGTGAAATGGTTAACAGATGATGATTGTCAGAGCTTGTTAACCACAATTATTTTCCAGACATATGTAAATCTGTATAAATACCTGAGTGTGGTATATAATCTAAAACATACTGTTTAAATCTATAAGCATTCCTGAGTTAATTTCACTACGGGAACATTAGTTGCAACTTCCTGACTTCACTGTGTTTGAATTCATATCCATGAACATTAATTTAAAATTAGTCTAAATATTTGTTGAGAATTAATCACCTGATAAATTTAGCTCTTTTTCATTTTTATGAATTATTCATTATCTCCTCTCCTTTCCGTTGATGTGTTGGTTATTTGCAAGAATTGATTTACTAGTTCATGCTAAAAAAATCCAGCAATCACAGTGATGTGTAAAATGTTCCCCTTGGAAACTTGACCAGTGACTATGATAGCATTTTCTTTACCACCAATATTGTATGGTAATGGTTTGCTTATCGAGGACTCATTGCAGTTTTTAAGAGAGGCATAAGTCCATAGAGCAAATATTTTGCAACAAAACATTTTCTGTTTATGACTTGCATATATGTCATGGATGTTCCTACAAAGGAAGTTTGTATTAGTAAAAGCCTGTTGGTAGGAATGTTTGGGAACAGTATGATAAGGTGTGACTGCAGGAATGAACAGCTATGTAAAACTGCTATCTGAAATAGAAAAAGCTCCCATTGCACAGTCCTATCATAGAAAATACCTGAGCTTGCCAAAGGATCAGAATAATTCTGTTCTAGGGTGGCCTCAGGCAAGGCTGAATGAAAAGTTATCAACCACCAGATATTATTAAGAGGAACAAACCTTTTAAGGAAAGTCTTGAGTGGATGGGAGCAAGAATCCTTAACACTATACAGTTCAACCATGAAGTGATTTGTGCGCCTCCAGCACATAGAGAACTACCTCTCAAAACTTATGGCCTGCATTCAGTAAAAGCAGTGGAAGACCAGATTTTCTGAATAGAGCTTATGTTCCCAGGCATAGTACTGGCAGCCTAATTTCTGGCTGCCACTCATTAAACAAATCTTTACCATAAAATTAATTTACTGGCAAACATCACTTCCCTTCTTTCAACTCACTGAAACAGATAACATCTTCAACTTCCCATCGGGTGATGTCTTTATATTTGTTACTTTCAATCTCAGTTTGTTACTATTAATTAAATAACAAATCAGAAAATTGCTTCTAAAATTATGAAAAAGCAAAACCCCCAAAACACACCCTAATGTGGTTAGTAACTGGTACCAACTCTTGCAAAACATCAAAGGCTTCTCTAAACATAGACTTTCATCAGTGATGCTGCAACCCTTCATCTAATCTTTCATGATTTCCCAAGCTTGAACATCAAAAGAGAAAGAAGAGAATAGCACTGTTCCAAAGCAACAGTGCTCTGTGTGAAAAGTATGTGTTTAGCTACAACACACATGAAATGTAAGTGGGAAATTATTATTTACATGAGACACATTTTAATAAATATCATCATTAGCGCCCTTTCTTTTCCTATAAGGAACAAGGATTTGTGTTCAAAATCATGTCCAAAGCTCAAGGGATTTCTGAAAGAAAATGAAAAAGAATTAGAAAGTATCTAATGTATAAGTCTTCAAAGCAAGCGGATCAATTTATTTTCATTTTCACTTACTGAAACACATTCTGCATATTTTATTGTTTCTGTCATCTTGTTATAATCCATCCAAAGAGTTTTCAAAGAACATTAAGTCCTACAAATAAACAAACTGTGAACAGTAAGGAAGGTACAAAAATGCAACAGTTACTATTAAAAGTCTTACTTGTAGGCTTTTTTTACATAAAGTAATTAGATTAGTCAGTCATTTTCTATTACTCTGCCACTGAGCAACAGGAGTTTTGGAGGACACAGTCCAAAAATCTTAAGTGTCATGAGAGTTACATCTCTAACCTAATAAAAGCAAAATATCTGAATTGTTGTTGCTATTTTAAAGCAAACACTTTCCAGTGAATAATTTAAATAGTTTTGTCTTTTTGTTTTATATTGTCTGATGATTTTGAAACCATTGCATGTAAATATTAACACATTAGTGTTGGCAAAAGATGTACACAGCAAATATCAATTTGTAATTCTAGAAAACATGCATCTTAACTTCATCCTTACTCACCTAGAGGTGATTATTCTCCTTTTCATATAATTCTTCTCTTACGATTATCTTCACAATGGTATTTTTGTAGGAAATTTCATATGGCCTAAAGGTCTTACATGCAACACCCAACAGAACTATTGAAGTGGCACTCACCATTTGAAATTACCATTAGAAGTAACATAACTTTTGTTTTGGTTCATATACCCGTTCAAACACAACAGATAAGGGGTTTGGGGGAGTCTGGTAGGTTTGACATGTATGTTGACATTTGATCCTGCCATGCAAGATATTGAATTACATAGAATCATAGAATCGTTTAGGTTGGAAAAGACTTTTAAGATCATCCAGTCCAACCATTAACCTACACTACCAAGTCTACTCAAAGCCAATCAAGGGTAGACTAGACTAAACCATGTCCCGAAGTGCCACATCTACCTGGTTTTTGAACACTTCGAGGGATGGTGACTCCACCACCTCTCTGGGCAGCCTGTTCCAATGCTTGACCACCCTTTCCGTGAAGAAATTTTTCCTAATTTCCAACCTAAACCTTCCCTGGCGCAGCTTAAGCCCATATGTGGAATACCATTTAAATAAAGAAAGTTTAATTATATAAGGTTTAATAAACAAAAATCTTAGGAACCTAAAGATGCTCAGCAAGTAAGAAAAAAACAAAAGCAGCCATAAAAATCAAAAGGGTTTCAGTTAACTTATCTTTTAGGTAGCGGGTTTGGCTTTCCACTGCACTTGCACCTTTGTAGGATCACAGCTGATAGCAAAGGCCCCTTTGTCCCAGTCTGCCCACCTCTATAGCTCTACCTCTTGGTTTTGCATACTTACAATGAGGAAACAAGCACCAATCATTACTGCCTTGATTCTCACATCAAGATCTACAGGGACCTGGATCCCGAAGTTGGCAGTGTTGGTAAAGACATTGTTTACAAATCCAGACCAGTACTTGGAAATTTTGCCAATCGTTGACATCTCATTGAGAGCTTTTACCTGCATAAATAAAAAATAGGAATACACCTAGACATAAATAAATCAAGTACACACTGATTATATCTCCACAGAATTAATGACTATGCCCTGACACACAGAGTATGCTATAGTTGTCAGGTTGTTCTTTTATTCTTATCATTGAGATGCTCTATTAGTGTCAGATTTGCCTTTAGGAGTGGCACACAAGAAAGGGTCTCAAGTTTGGAAGCATCAGCATCTTTAGAGCTGACAGAAAATGGAGGAAAGCAATTGTGAAAGTTTGTACCACTTTTGCTCTTCTTTCACAATGATTTTTTTTTCCTGTCTTGTGTTTCTGATATGCTCCAAGTCACAGCAGTACCATTGCTGTGGACCACTGTCCCCTACAACTGACAGATCTGTTCTCAATTATGCAGCCATCTACGTGGTCTAGTGGAAGGTATCCCTGACCATGGCAGGCAAGTTGGAACTAGATGATCTTTAAGGTCCATTCCAACCCAAACCATTCTATGATTCTATGTCTTTCACAGTATACTGAAATTTCAGACAGTAGTCATTGAAGTCTTCTGATTTGGCCAATGGGTTGATCAACACAGAAGCTCTTTTATGATTCCTTAACTAAGGCAAAGCTCTTTTTTCACATCAGAAAACTCTGTCCAGGATTTTTTTGGGCATCTCCCATTCTCCCTCTCATCCCTTAAATATCTCAATGGCTCCTCAGAATTATTTTTCTCCTGATGAATGTTGTCAAGTGGATGTAGGCATATTGGACAGTAATCCTGCCTGTGGCTCTCTGTCTAAAGAATAATGAAGGCAGCAGATTCAATGCCACAGGCTTCAAGGGACTATGTGTCAAGTAACAATGAATCCATGTGGGATGAAACCCTGAGCCTATCAAAATTAATGGCTAAGTGCTCATGGACAGCAGAGGACAGCACTTCATTTAGTGATGTGTACTTCCTTGAAGGAATTGTCACTCCTGTCAGAAAACCTCTGTAGGAATCTTAGTGTACAGGTCAGCAACTCCAATGCACATTGTTGTACTGCTGTTCCATAATTATAGCAATGTACATAATATTTTCAAGGGTAGAGTAACAGGATTTTTGAATAAGAAATTTATTGAAAGTAGTAAAACTTTAAAATTCTTAACACTCATAAGAAACATACCTCAAAGTCAACATCTCCAAACCAGCCACAAGTTGCATATGGGCCAATTATTTTTAGTATATCTTCTTTACTTTCATTCTGTATAGTAAACTTTGGCAGAAAGGGGTCCCAGTTCTGGACAACATACCCAGCTATTGTACCTGGTGGGGACTGAACTTCTAACTAGCAAACAAAAGAAAACAAAACAAAATCTTATAAACTAATTTTATATTAGCATATTTGTCCATAATAGTGTATTGTTTATATAATGACAAAATATTTATTTATTGAATATAATTATATATAATTTTACCAAACTGTGAACTAGATATTACAAGCCTGTCTAATGGTGCTTTTGAATATAGTGGACAATATGAAGCTCAAAAGCTGCACCAGACGCTACCAACTTACATATAAGATTTGATAAAACCCATACACTGTAAAAAGCTTTTGTTATTGTAACCAGTGAGTATCCTATAAGCTTTTTTATACAGTGGCTGGGCTACCAAAGGACTTTTTTTTTTTTTAAAGCCTGATGCAGTACTGAGAAAGTAGGTAAATGAGTTAACCTATAAAACATTTCCATAAAACAAGAAAGATGTCTGAATAAAGGAGAGTCAAAAATAAGGAGAAAAGATCTGATACTCTATAGGATCTGCATTTTTCACTCAAAGTAGCTTATTTCCAAGTTCTGCAATTTCCCAGAGGTACATGGCCTTGAAGAGCCAGAACCACGGAACGAAGCATCGGCCTCCTCGGAGAGCTGCTTCCCGGTTGTACCCACACACACTAATGGCCTCCAGGGATTTTCCATCCTTCACACTCTGGGTGATTTCCATCTGTAGCACTAACAGCCCTTAGTCTGTGTCACGGCAAGCAGTGATTTGGGGTGTTACCTGCCTGGAGAGACATCTGTATCATCAGACACAAAAGCTTTATTTGGGATGTCAGGAAAGTAAGGTCCCATGAAAGGGAGGAGGCGTGCTGGTAACGTAACTCATAAAAGGGCCTCGTCTATCAATAGTTACTTCTAAACGAAGGCCTCCACGCAGTCCCCCAGGCTGAGAGGTGGGAGTGAATTCTTTCCTGCCATCCTCACAGAGGTTGCACGAGGCTTCATTAATGCTGCGCACATACAGTGAGATGCTCGGACAAAAGGCAATTAGGACTCGCTCACCTCTTGCAGGAAGCAGGGGAACCAGCAGCTGTTGCATCTCAAGGGTCTGTTCACTGTAATCACTTCTCGGCCCGTGTTATCAGCAATCCTTATGGTGAAAGACCTTATAGGCGAACACAAGTTACGATCAAAGCAATCGTTTTCTTCTACTGCAAAGTAAACTCTTTGTCCCAAATGGTTTTTTATCTCATATTTGCTGGAGGTCTCTGTGCCAAGTATGGCTAATAAAGCAAAACAATTAGAACATTACCTTAGTATCATGTTAGTATTTGTTAGTATATATTCTAAAAAATCTATGGAACAGAGATGGTCTAAAAAATTGTTTTGAAATAATGACACAAAGAAAATACACAATTATAAGGAAATAATAATGTCCAGACTGTATTTTGAAGGAACATTTAGTTCAAATGCTTTTATGTGCTCTACACTAAAGTACATACCACAAAACAGAATTCAGACCCTGAGTTTTGGTTTGGGCCTTTTCTTACTTTATCATCTGTGAGAAGTAACAATATGAGGCTGTCCCACTTCAGTGACAAAACTTTCACCCAGCAAGGTGTCCAAGAATCAGGCCAAAAACATTTTGAATGGTAGAAATACATTAAAAAATGTCTTACTTGCAGAACTTAATACTTGTTCAGTACGCTGAAATTCTGAGGAACTATGTAAATAGTAACTCTTATGCTTCGTTTTGTGTCTTCTGACTTTCCTTTATTTGCTTTGTTTCTCGTAGCATGTTAATTATTGTTAAAGACAATAAATTTTTCCATGGATTTGAAAGATGGTTAAACTTTAATAACTTAGCAAGGGAGGTGTCTGAGGGAGAGAATTTAAGACTGGTGTGGAGATTACTCACTGTAATCTTTCTCTCCTCATTGGTTTGCTGCAGAACAGGCATAAAGAAAGTGAGATTTCACCACACTAGCACCACATACAGGCCTGATGCAAGGTCATGCAGGAGGCTTCACAATGACTTCAGTGACTTGGAGGCAAGACTTGGAAGCCTTTTGGAGACATCTGTGTACCAGCACAGTTAAAGAGTGACAAGGATTGCACCATACCTTCAAGAAGCTCCACTTGCTGATGAATAATTATCCGGTCCAGCTGTTTAAAAAAAAAAAAAAAAAAACAAGATTGTGGGTGTTGGAAAGGTCTGGGGCTGTCTATTTTTATTGCTCATCTCCCTGTTATTAGGATTTCTTTCCTTCCAGAGCTGCACAAGCCAGGTTCCTGCAGGCTATCTCAAGTCACACTTTAGACATCTCTCTCAAATGATGACTGAAGAGTATGACATCGGGTGCTGTGGTCATGTAATTCACACACACATTTGAAGAAAAATAATCTTCACTGGGAGAACGAAGAAGACAACAGCAACACAAAGACATATGTGAGAAGCAGGGTCCACTTCTCACTCCTGTTCCTCCCTCCTGGTCTTGGCAGAGGGGAAGCCCCTTACCCCAAAAGCTAAGGTTAGTGCTGGACACCATGGCAGCGCAGGAGTGAATGAGTTTGGGCTCAAGCTCAAAATGTGCTGTAGCCAAATCCCAAAGGGACCCACTAGAGCAGCCCAGCAGGGCTATCAGGTGGTGCCAACGATGGCATACACAAGTTTTAATGCTCTGATCTCAGGCAATGGGAGTTCTGCACCCTAAATCTGGCAAATGGTCACGCCAGGGTGCCAGAATGAGCAAAACAACAGCTCCCCAGAGAAACCCTCGGCTGGCTGAAACTGTCTTCCCCTGTGAGTTTGTTACAAATGCAGGAGAAAAACTGTTTGCCATGATACCCAGCTTTGCTGTGCCTATCGTCCCTCCAACATTTTTCTTTTTTAGAGAACAGTCATTAGTATTATAAAACCAGCAAGACTTAATTTCAGTCTACCTTTCAGTTTTATGTGACTTTTTATGCCTGTTTTATGTGATAGTTTAGGCTTTGGTAATCTCTTTTCCTTAAATTCCTGATGGGCAAATGCTTGGCACAGGATTTTGCCATTACTCACAGCTGCAGACAGAAAGCACACAGTGACCTTCTGAGACCAGCATGTCACAAGTCTCCAGCTTCTGTATATTTTACAATTGATAAATCTTGCCTGGTACATACTCAAACTCTTGTAGCCATTTGTCAGTTCTAGTCATCTCCTGCAGCTAGTTCAGGCTGCAAAGAAAAGCTGGTAAAAGAGAAATTTCTTTATCCCTCTCATTAATCTCTGAAATGTGCATGCCAGTAATTGAAATAATAAAAAATATTTGGACTGAAAAATTTTCTCCCAAGAATCTTTGCTGTTTGTTGTTTACGTTTCATGAGAGCTGTGAACTCTTGGAGCTCATGGCAAGTGCTCTGCTTATGAAAAAAGAATACACAAGTTAAAGATGGTAGGGCTATTTTAATATTTTAGCATTGATTTTAATATGGATTTCTTTGCCCCACATAGACTTTCACAGGGAAAAGAAAATTAATGAGCCTGAACTGTTAAAAGCTTTGAGTGATTTTGGTCTGTGTATTGGTTTATTATGAACAATGTATAAACAATGTTGAGACAGTGTGGCAGTACCACACTTGTTTTGCCTTTCACTGATGTCTGCAAGGCAGCTATTCTGATGCATCTTTTGTTGGGGCACTTGTGGATTAAGGGAATTCTGCACTTGCATTTGAAAACATCTAAAGCCCTTTGGTTTACAAGGGTCTGAGTCCTCTTGAACTCAGATATATTAAAATTCCTTCTACACAGCTAATTCTCTGTATTCAGTTTTGTGGGCATTACATTTAAAACTGATCAGTCTAAGCAGGTATAAACTAAGAAGCTTCTTACAAAATTGGTTAAGCCTGAAAGGTGGCACAACATGCTGTTGAGCTACTTGGAAAATTTTCCAAGGTCTCATCTGTCTATTCCCACTACGGGCACAGGTTCCCTCGATTTTTGTGATGGGCACTGGCCAATTTGTCGAACTATGGCTGTGATCTGGAAGATAATAATGAGGTTTGGGTAACCTGTTTTGTAGGAAATTATTTAAAGGGTGTCACTTTTGTGATAGTGATAGAAAGTATAGTATCAGTTTGCCAGGGCAGAAGCAGTTTATTGCCCTCTTCCGGTGTACCTTGAACTGCCAAATTCATTGCTCCTCAGCCTGACTGACTCTGGGTGTGTATTTGCAGAGTGAAATATTGCTGTCTGGCCTTAACGTACGTGACAGATATTTTCTTTTCCTCTCTTACAACACTATATGCTGTGTCCTTGAGTTGCTGTTTAGAATAAGACTGTAGGGATCTCTCTGTGATTCACTAAATTTGGATCCTTGTTTCAGAGTCAAACACGTTATGGTCTTATTAAGAAATATATTCAGCTTTCTCAAATCTATCCAGCTATATTCCCTGCTCCTGCTGGAGATAATCCCAGAACCTCATTTCTATTTTTTATCCTGTATTTATTCACAACCACTTTCTATACAATCTTTCTTCTGGTAATATCATTCTATAAATTAAATGTCTCTTTTTCCCCACAGGTTGTCTACTCTTCTAGGGATGAGAGCTGTCACAGTCCCGTCTCTGGTAGCATTTTGTTAGTCTAAAGATGAAACACTAACAGTCTTGTTTTAAAACAGGTTCTCTGTTCCCCATGTCCTCCCAGTAGCATCTGTCTGTGCCTATTTCAACCTGGGTCAACCTTGCCCCAATACACACACAAACAGAAGGATACACAGTATTCCAGTCTTCCCAATGGCATCAAAATTTCCCAATTCTGCTAGAAACATCTTCATTCATTTGAGAATTTCATTACGTGAAAATCTCTTAGTCCATCAGGATAAATCCCAAGGGATCACCCTGGCAGCTGTGAGTCCCACATTCATTCTGCAGGCAGCCCTCTCCCTGCTAGTCGGATCTCCTTTCTGCTGCAATCTATCCTGTATGAGCTTGTTTCATTAGTCACACAGCCAGTATGACTTCACCATTGCACACCAAAATGATCTGCAACGCATGGAAACTCTAGCTGTGGGTATATGCCAATAATCAACATTGCACACATGCTTTCCACTTTTCAGACTGCAGAGAAAATTGAAAATAATTAGTGAGGGCTGCAGCAGACACATGGTTATTGGGCGAAGAACAGGCATGAATGAGGTCTTGAGTTCTAGTTATAGTTCTGACAGCCACTTGCTCTTTTGTCTTTATGTCAGAAGTAAAGCTTCTATAAAATGGAGTAATAGAATTTGCTTGCCCACAGTGTAGGAGTAAATCTGAGGTATAATTCATGTTTGTACAGGAGTCTGAATATGTAACCTGCCAAGTATTTACTATCATAATCACTTTTAGACTAAAAAATGTAGCTCCCACAATCTGTGAACAAATGCTCATGTAATTGACAACACATATCATTCTGTGTATAAGCACCATGAAATGAAAATCATAAGTCCACAAGAAAGATTGTTTCTGAAGGGTCTCCCAGTTTCATTAGCTATCTAGGTAACTTAGCTCCAAATATAAAATACATTCAATTTCTGCTTCTGTACAAAACTACCAGAAATGTAGATCTAAAATACAGAGTGAATCTGAATACAGATCTAAAATACCTCAAGTGAAATAAACATTTCCCAGCACCACCAAAATACAAACGCAGCAGAAACGTGTGTATCAGAATCACAACCTGACTACGCTGGGGGCCTGATTCTGTCCCTGCCCGTACCAGGCAGGGTGTATGAAGTGTTACTCAGCATACATAAGAGTGGCAGAATCCAGCCACATGTGAAATGCAAACTGGAGTCATTGTCAAAGCAGTAGCAGGAAGTGACCCTCCCAGTAAAAAAATGCAGGAAGAGATGAAACTTCTGGAGCAGAGTTGCAGACCGTCAGTGGTCTGAGCTCCAGGAGCTGAGAGGTTTCACAGAGCAAGATGGACAGCCACACATTTAGCAATAGGACTGAGAAGAATTTAGCCTTCCCTTTTCCTCTCCTGCCTATGACCTGCCTGTCTGCTTCTATTTCCAGGCATTTTCCTCTCCCGGGCACTAGCGCTTTCCTGCTCCACGACCCAACACAGAGTGGGTACGGGTTTGTATCCACCCAGGCTTATGCTCACAAAGTTGTCTGCTTGGGAGCCTGCCTCTCCAGGACCTTACCTCTAACCTGGAGAGCACTGTTCTTGGCAGGAGTTTGCTCAAAGACCTTCATGTTCCTCAAAGGATGGGTTATAGGGGGGTGACAATTCCTTCACACACTGCCTGTTTCAGTCTTTTTGAGGTCAGCTGGAGTTTGATGGCCATTTCCCTGAGGGTGAGCTCTTAAGGAACTGGAAAGAAACTGGGGGGCAATGAGAGGGGTAATACTATGACTTCAAAAAAGTCCTAGAGGGAAGAAAACCATGGGTTTTGTGCAAGGAGAGCTGCATGCACAACAAATGGATTTCTATAAAAAAGAATGGCAGCAATGAAGGAAGGGCTTGTCACTCTTACACTCCTCCTTTCATAGTAATATCAAACAACAAAAAAGCCTCTCCATCTCCACCTGCCACTCCCCCAAGAAAAAAAAAAAAACAAAACCCAAACAAAAACCAAACAACCCCATCCACCCAAGGTATCAAAGAAGTCTACAAGGAAAACAAAACAATTCTAACATTTGGAAAGATTCAGGACCTGGTTCAGGTACTCCAGACCAGGTGGCAAGTTATGAGTGTGTGATGTTTGCTTCCAGAGACTTGGTTCAACAGGCTTATTCTGTTCAAGAAGGTCAGAAGAACCAGGGAGGTAATCCTTAAAGATTGGGTTGGCTTGTCCCTGAGATTCTGCAAGAAAAGAAAAAAAAAAAATCAGAACTGAACAGGGCCAAACAGCAGCTAGCTGCTTGGATCAAAACTGGAACAATAATGTCACATTCTGCCTGTGACTATATCAGCATTTTAGTTCAGATCAGGAGTGAGGATCTGAAATGAATCTCCTAATGGTGCCACACTTCGAGCGCTCTGATTCACTTTATAAAGCAGTCTCAGAGTATGCAAGGTAGAATCACTAGATGAAGCTAAACCAGGAGATGCGGTCTTGGAGGGCACCTAATCCACGCTGACAGCTTGCAAGCGCTCAGTCTGTGTGACAAGGCTGGAGCTGGCCTGGACTCACACACAGGGTGGCCACAAGCTCCTCGGCACAGGCTATCAGCCCTGCTCCCCATGAGCTGCCCTGCGCGCTAACGCACGCCGAGCTGCTGAGGGCGTGCTTCTAGCAAGATGCTCTCTAGCATTTTGAGGGCATGCACATTTTCTCTTAATTAGAGAGAAACTTTCCACGGATCTTACGATTCCCCAAGCTGGATGTTACAACCCTGGTATCAAAGTCTACACAGCCTCTTATAGTGTATTATTCACTGTTACCTTCATGAAAAGATCAGGTATCTTTAAGCTGTGTTTTCTAGTTTGCTGTTGCAAACACGTCCTTTAGGACACAGTGATGGTTACCTTGGCTAGTGCTGTGAAGGTAACGAGAATATTTACTGTTACAGGCACCTGTATGCCCACACCCCTTCACACGCACAGGCACCATCTCCCACAGTGCAGTGATCACCTTAGCCATTTGATTCTCAACAAACTCCTACTGATTTTACTACGAGCATCCTTCCACAGCCTTCAGTAACACTGGCTCTGCCGGAACAAGAAAGAGCAAATTGATGCTCTCCACATATAAATGGCAAATCCCCATGTTAAGCTGAGCCCCTGCGCTTCAGCAGTAAAGCAGTCCCCAAACTGATCATTTTTATCTTGTGTGTGACAATACTTGGGCACGACGGGGTTTGAGGTCCAGAAGGAGTTTTGGTTCTAAGTCTGAAGCTCTCTTTTGCTGTTGTGGGTTTAAATGAGATCCTTTAGCATTATTTGAATTCACTGTGGCTGATTCATCGTTTAATCATATTTTGATCTTAATTCGTCTTTGCAGCCACTGCTTTCTTTCAAAGTCTGAGACCACAGGAAGAAGTAACCCCTTTGAATTTGTAGCTGGCTTTTAAAAATGTATAACTAGGTAATAAATATTTTATATGCTCTTCTGCATCATTTTACCTCACAGGGTTCTGTTACTGCCATAATTCTTGTTGTTACATGAAATGCCATGAAGTGGCCGAGCGTTAGTGTTATTCTTGAATAATAAAGAGAAAAAAAGACAACAAATTGCAGTTCTGCCTGTCAAATTTTAAGCTATACAAAAATCAAACAGTAAATACATTAAATATTGATGACAATCTGAGCTACTCTGACACTTTGTCCATTTTTGAGGATGTTTCCCATTTCATTTATGGTATGGGAAAACTTAAAAGTTACCGTATGATACAGTGAGCATTCTGTACAAACACAATTTGTAGAGTTACTTGTTCCTAAAAGTATGTTATCGAGTTCCTTCATTCCAAAAACCATATTACACAACATGACTATTTTGCTGCTTCTGTTAACTACTATGCATTAACAATAATAATAATAATGGTTGGACTGGATGATCTTAAAGGTCTTTTCCAACCTAAACGATTCTATGATTCTATAAGATACATAACCAGATGTCTTTTATATGGCTAAAGATAAGCAAGATTTAAAAAAAGCCTATTGCAAGAGTACAACAACGCTGTAAAACCTGCTTGCTGCTGTATACCCTTTAGTGCTGTAAATGCAGAATGTCTTGAGTATTTTGGGGGCAACAAAGAGGGGTAAACATTTGGCAAACATAAATAGACTGCTGAAACTCGCTGGGCCAACATCTGCCTCTGTACTTCACAACAGGGTGACCTCTGTGGAGTTGCATTCATTTTAAGAAAAAACAGATTTGTGTCCTTCTAATTAGTTTAAATATTTGAAAGCATGGAGAAAATGAATTTAGAAGGCTGGTTGCATGCTGCAATGTTTGCCTATAGCCCTGAGTACCCAACCGGCTGCTGCTAAAAGACAATACGTGAAAAGATGAACCCAGATAGGAGTAATCTGATTAAATCCAGTTATTCTTCAGATATTTATTTTCCCCACGTGGTTATCGGACTCTGGCCAGTTTGGAAAGTGAAAAGCATTTGCTGATCTGGTATTTTCAAAGTGGAATAGGAAAGAAGTGTGCAAAAATAGCGGTACCCTTGGCTCCGTAGCTGCCCTTCCCACGCATTTTATACTGACAGGTTTAAGCACAAAGATAAAACACTAAATTTTCTGATCGAATGCAGATGCTAACATTTTGTAACGTATTATATTCAAATAACATTCTAGTATAGATTTTAGTCTCCTTAGGAGCCTCTTGAATGCTGAAAAATTAAAGGAAGCCGAAACAACTGTGCTTTGGCTGATGTGGTTTTAGCCTGAAACTCTCATTTCATCAGACTGCTGATTGCTGGAAACGTACAAGACTGTAGTTTTCTGTAAACATGATCTAAAAATACAGACTGTAGATGCACTTACCTTGAGAGGCCATGAAGCTTCCTGAGCTACTTCTTCAAAGGAAGCCAGGTTAAAAGAAAAGGCTTTTCTTGTTGCAGCAAAGAAAAAAAGAGCACAGCATGCACAAAACTTCAGAAGGTGTCTGTCTACTTCATATCAGCTTACAAAGAACTGGAGGAAACGTATTGCCTTTCTCATGTTCCAGAACACTGCATTTTATGTCGATGGACAACAGGGGGAGATGATGCTAACAAACAAGAAACACATTATTCATTTCAAGTCATTTGCACCAATGGAAAGAGGGAGAAGTGTTTTGTGAATACAAAGAGGCAAAACTTCAATGTACCCACTGGCTAACTGAACACATTAGACCTAAAATCCTGCTTTATAATGTATGTATATATTCTGAGACTACACAAATTCTATCTTTATAATTCAATATTTATGTTTCCCTTTCTTCAGGGTATCCAGTAAAGGCAGAGGAGCTAATTACCTGCATTTCCCTATGGCTGGCCCCCAGTCAACATTTCCCATGCACAGAGCAGGAAAAGCTACCTTGGATTTCTCACTGTATTCCATCCGTGTAGCATCAGCCTCCCCTACGAGGGATGTCATGCCTGAACCCAGACCCAGAAAATGATCCTGTACACACCCCCTGCCCCCCCACACACACACCCTCCATGCAGGGCTCTGCTGATCCATGTGAGGTGTTTAAACTGGATTTGGAGAATTAAAACAGATTGGCTGCGGTTTGCTCCAGACAAGCACCGTCCATACCAAAACATAAGACATGTAATCACCTTCATTGCACTGAAAGGAAAGGAGGAGGAGGAGGGAGAGTAACCTTGACTTACCAGCTCATATTTCTGCCTCAAGTGCCCAAGTCACCATGGAGATCATCACGCACATGCGATCTGCAGACAGATATGATGTGTGGCTGCAAAAATGGCAGAGCCTATGCACAGAGCCTGGCAGAGCAGAGTGAGGTGTTGGGGACCATCTTCTGTTCTCTCTGCTGCTTCAGGTCCTACTGATTTGAAATGGCCTATAGGAGCATATCCGAACAGATTTAATTCCAGAGTTACAGTTCAGGAAGATGCTGATGAGGATCTCTGAAAGAAGAATGCAGAAAACCCCTCTAAAAAAAAAAAAAAATTATATGGAAGCTGATTTTTATTAACTACATTAGTCCATGCAAAGGCCCCAGGTCTACCTATGGAACATGTAAAAATTTGGCTGTGTGAAACTTTCCCAGAGTTTATTGTTGCCTGCTTGGGAAGTCCCTGGTTGTGGTGGCAGCACAGCCCGACCCAGCAGCCAGTCCCTGCTGTGCTCACCCCTGGAAACACCACGTGAAGGGGGAAGGCAGTCCACAGACAAAAACTTTGATTGCTGAAAAATGGGCACTAAAATAATCTTTCTGGACTGGGAAGAAGTTTGACATCACTGGAAACAATGATTAAGAATGACTAAAAGCTTTTGTTTCCTTCCTCCCTGTCAAAGATGTGCTTCTTTGGAGCAGGGGATCTAAACTGGAGAGCAGACACAAAGCTTAAACAAAGAAGAAAAAAGGAAAGGGAAAGCACTGGATAAATATAGTAAACCTAACTTTCAAAATGATGGATGAAAACTCAGATGAGATGGCACCCACCTACCTTTAAAATTAATAAAGACTTACTTTAGCTCCCAGAAAACCAAAAAAAAAAACCCCAATCCCAATAATTCTGTCAATGCATAAAGCAAGTGTAGTACATTAAGAAAGGTGCCTAAAATAGACAAAAAACACTAAAAAAATATGTGCTAAAAGAAGATGTTTCAAAGATTTAAAAAACATTTTTGAGAAGTCCAAGTAGCTCACTTGCTGACCTGGTGGAACACACGGACACTGACACAGCCTGTCTGTACTCAGTACCTGTAACATGGGACCAGTCCCAGTCATTCCCGCAGCATTTCCAGGCTCTGGGACAGGACAGCCTGGTGGTGCTGGGAGCTGCTGGCACTGCGGCGCAGGCTCCCGGGCAAGAGCCACCGTGGTGGCACAGGCAGGTCCACCCGTCTGCAGGAGCCAGGTTTCATTATCCTGCCGCTCATGAAATAAACACTTCCCTGAAGCAGTTCTGCCCCAAAGAACTAATTTTCTGGCATTATTTACAAAATTGCAGTAAATAGATAATAGAAAGGTATAAAACTTGGCTTGAAGTACATTTTATGTTGTTCCATTTCTTTCACAGATTTCCGTATCTTTTACAATGTGCCCTCTTACCCTATTCTTCTTGTTTTATTCAGAATCAATAATTTTAGTAGATTATATCAATAGATTTCTGCAGTATTTGTAAACTGTAGTCTTGCATTGGCATAGGTCCTTACAAGTAAAACTATGTATTTAATGATTTCTTTAATCTGAATTTTTGGCATTTTTTTTTAAAATAAATATTCACATATTGGTCAAAATCTACTCCAGCCATGATTAAAAGCAGCCTCACTGAGGACTTCAGGAACAGAAGACTTAATTATATTTATCCAGGCACAACTGCAGCCATACTTTGGCGCTATTTAGAAATGCACAGGAAAAAACTACTGAAGAAATCAGGACAAACATTTAAAGAATTGTGTACAACTATTTCTAGCCAAGTCTTAAGGACTTCAGGAAGGAGAGCAGCAGCATCCAAAGGGCAATCCTGCCAAGACACTGAGCTTGCTGCGTCTGCCCCTTGCAGAAGGCTCTGGAGGATCACTGCCTACATTTACTCTATCGTTAGGAGTCTGAGCACTAAAATACAGTATACTTACTCATCTGGATGAATGTGCTGGACATCTGTAACACATTCACAGGTAATAAAAAAAAGAAACTGAGTGTGTGTACATGTATTCCCTCTATGTGTAAGATATACTTGTTCCGTCCCATGTTGTAAAGCTTATAAAAATTGATGGTCGAATCCTCAGAAGGTGCAAGTTAGCATGGATCCATTAAAATAAATGAGACTATTCAGATCTGGGCAGGCAGTGTTTGGCTGGCGGAGTTTATACATCTAGAACCTTCCTTTCTTCCTTAAAGAAAAGTTACATTGCATCTTTTCTATAACTACCACTTGTCCAAAAGCACAAGGATCCATCCCCACTAAGCGGATGTACAAACACCACTGCAGTTAATGGTTATTACACAAACCACTGCAGCCTGTAAGAAACCTATCCATGGACTAAGACATCATTGTCCCAGACAGCACAGAGCCAAAACACAGGTTTTTCCTCCAGAAAGCATATAGTAATAGTCAACCAAGTGGATCAGTAGTGCAAAGATACCTTATGGCTCAGCATAGGTGCTGCTTTTCTGGAGCCTAATCACTCTTCTATTTTCTACAGGCACCACAGCTGGAGTATGGCAATGGATTCACAAAATCACCTTCACTAGTGGTCAGAGACTCCAAGAGAAAAACAGGAGACAGCAACAAAATTCAAAGTATTAGGAAAAGCTGTTTGATTGCTTGTCCTGCTCCCTGCTGCTTGGAAAACTGCCCTATAAACCTGGTGCAAGACATTTGCCCTTGTACTCAGCGGGGAAAAGACGACACTGCCCTGTACCACTATTGGCTCTCCCAGGGAAGCAGGAAATGCTTCTCCCCTTGTCCCCACAGTCTAGACAAGTTCATGCACGAGAGCTCAGTTCCTCCCCACTTGCCCTTCCTGAGGTGCAAGCAGCCAGGAATGTGCTGTGCCATCCAGCAGGCAGGTTAAGGAGAGCATGCAGGCACCGTGAAATGCACCTGAAACCCCACTGAGCAAAGCCTGAGCTTCCCTGCTACTGAAAGGGGTGATCACTAATGCCCATTTCCTCTTTAAATTTCCTTTCCTCAAAATATCAATTCTCACCAGCATTAAAATGTGTTGTTATTGTTATTTTTTTAATAGGAAATTATAGAGCCTCCCTCCCTTTCCTAGACTTGCCTTTAGTGCAGGGGGAAACGCTGAGCGTGAGCATAAGTATCAGACTGCGACCCTGTGCAATAAGTAGCTGCAAGTTACAGATTTTTACCCAGTATTGCTTTCTGCACTGGGGGGGGGGGGGGGGGGG